TTTTACATCAATTTATTCTTTCTCAGGGGGCCCTTAAAAGCTCGGTGAGCATGATTGCAGAAAGTTCTGTAAGGCTACGGAGTAGATCTTCACAAAAGTGATTCCGTGAAGTCCTCTCTCTTGCAATGGGCTCACTTGTTTCCTTCTTTTCCAAATTTGGTATGGAGCAAATTATCTTTAAAAACTGTTTCATTTTCGATGTTGGCTATTCAAGTATGATTTCTCTGAAACCTTCACACTTTGTAATTGTAATTCTAATCCCGGCCTTATATGAAATTAGGTTCGTCTGGGCGTGCAATGTTGTTTCACCGAGCATGGAATTTGGACTATTCCGAAGCACAACATCGAGATATGATGACCGGGAAGCATATTGTGCGAGATGTTATGTGCAGAGTTTGTCATGTAAGTTCAATTTAAACATGTTTAATATATGTTTCGAATTGCCAAACATGCGAAGCAATGTTATTGTAGTAACTTGATTGTATTTCTTTCTAGAAAAAAGTAGGATGGATGTATGAATTCGCTATGGAGGAGTCGCAGCGTTATAAAGAAGCTCGTGTTATTCTTGAAAAGGCTCTTATCGACGAAGAAGATGGCTTCCCGGATCCGGCAGGAGCACTCGAAACACATGAACAACCTCCTTCGTATGTTTCTTATTTTATCACCCTATTCGTTTTCTATTCGGCATTAGATATTATTTGATTTTGATTCGTAGCCCACTAGCGCGGCTCCTTTACCCGTTCTCTTTTTGTATTCCTTTTTATGTTACTTTGTTTCGTATGTAGGACAGAAACGTTGCACATGTGTGGAACTGTTCTGGTTTTACCGAGATACGATGTGACGCTTTCGCACACCCCAACAACAAGCATTGGGGAGGAGCTGTATCGCCTTCAATTTCTACCGGTGGAAATATTGCCTCTGAGGTGTCATCTAACAAGTCTCTGCTACTACATGATGCATCTGTCCCTTGAAATTTCGTCTTGTACATATATTTGGAAAGTTTGTTTCTAGTGCACGATTTGTTGAGAAAGGTGGGCTCCGTCGAGTAGTTTCTTAATAATCCTTTTGGATCAGGACTGCTCTCGCTACTACCAACCGCAGAATAGAAGTATTCTTTAGAACGCATCAGTGCGCTACGCAGGATGGTTTGTTATTTTCAGATCTCCCAAATTTGAAACGTTTGGTGGACGTCGTGGGATTCGTCTGAGCGCTCTGTCAAGATCTGATTCTGGCCTAACGAGCAGCGCGTCCGCTCCCCAAAGCACTGCTCCTACCGTGCAGGAATCGCCCTAACTTAACCTCGTATTCTCATTATCCTTCTATATATTGTTCTGCGCTCATGCCCTTCTATCATCTCAGACATCATTACAATCGCTAAGAAATTTTGATTTACTTTTTAAATTTGAAATCGTATACTACGTATACATGTCTGTTTCGGCCGGATTACCATGAGGTAACATCAACTTCTTTTTAGGAGTTATTGATTTGTGTTTTATTGAATATGACAATTTCCGTAATTTCAAAATTGTATATATCTTTTTCAAATTTAGTTATCTGGTGTGGTGTTTATTATCTGTGGTTAAAATCTAGTTTCCAGAGGTCAAGATTTCGAACGGTGACTGTAACTCTGAAGATATTTGTGTGCTTTAATAAAAATTCTGCTATATGTTTCCTTTAATGATATTGGCTTTTTACCATGCTGTATACGTAATGGTTTGTGTATTCGAATGATTTTACAAATGGCTTTTACATTATATGTGTTCTATTATAATTGTCAGATGCCACGAATGTTCTTCGAGCATTGGGGTGGACGAAGGACGTTCTCCTGTGAGAAGTGCGGAACTTATCTCTCGAATAGACAGGAAGTCGTATCTACTCGATTTAGTGGTAGAAATAGATCTAGCATTGTTGACATTACGCTTAGTAATCATGTAAATTTTAGGAAGTACTGGTAGAGCGTTTTTATTCCGTCGAGTTGCCAATACTCGGCAAGGAAATCCGGTTGTACGCAAGCTGACCACCGGAAATCATTTGGTACGAAATTGATTTTTCTTTTACTTTCATAGTATCGAATTTCTAATTCCCTGTCAACCTTTCTTCTTCAGGTCCGTGATGTGTTCTGTCTTTGCTGTGGTACTAAATTGGGTTGGTTGTACGAATTCACGTGCGAAGTTGCTGAGCGATATAAAGAAGGTGAGTCTGCTGCTTCAAGGTTTGGTTCAAGTGATTTTTGCGATTCTCTCTTTTATACTTTTTGAAGGTTTCAAACACTAAGGTAAACTGTAGAGGCGTTAGCTATGTCAATATTGAGTCAATATCTACTCCATTTCTCGTTTTCCTTACACATTTCCATCTTTTTGGCGCTAAGAAAAGGTAGGCTAAAGGTACAAGCTGCTTGTCACCTTCCTCTACGATTGATTTTAAGTGTAATTGACCTTGTTTCCTTACTTTGAAGTGTGGTTAGCGTAGACGATTTCTTTCTCAAAAAGCTTCCTTTGCCTACCTGTAATTGATGATTCACGGAAAGGAGCTAGCAACCACACTTTGTTTTCTGACCGTGCGGCTGAATTGCTGAACTCCTTGAATGAAAGTTATGCTACAAAGTGGATATTCTTAAAATAGTCTCAATACAATACATCCCTGATTTAGCCTAGTGAGGCTAAATAGGCCATTACCACCCCCATGGTCCATTTGGTGCGTATTCTTTTGAAGCTCAGTGAGTAATACGTCAGAGGACCAGTAGTTGTAATCAGGCACAAGAGGTGTTCCTATTTTGTGGTTCTCTTCTTGAGCTTACCATGAGTCAACAGTATTTGAGCGGAGCCTTTATTCTTGAATCAGTGACTGGGGGTCTTGCGGCATCGTATGTCCAGCGAACTGCCCTTTTGTAAACTTCACAGGTGTACATTAGTGGCGTTTTGATTTTGCTGTTTCTAGGGAAATTCATACTAGAACGGAGGCTTGTTCGTGAGACCGAAGTGGCGCACAATCAACTCGCGGAACGGTTATTTGAACACGATGGACCTGCTTCTCCGAAAGAAGCCCGACTGAGTTGGAAACGTTTATAGAATGTTTCTGTCGAGTTTTCGTAGTTCTTGAAAGAGCCAGTTTTTTGATCTCATTCGGCTATCTCACGATCTACCTCGTGCATTTCTTGAGCTTTGCTAATATGACAGTTTTGCTGTTGTTTCACTTTTAATAATTTCTTTGGTATTCTGTCGTTTGCTGTCTTGGTGTTGTTTCTGTTTTGCCAAGAAGCAATTAAAATCTCTTATTTGGGCGTTTTTTATGACTATTCTGTGTATTTCACTTATTATTCACGTTTTTCTGTTTTTCACAGGGTGAGTGCTTTTTTTAGTGACATTATATACTAACTTAGCAGATGGCAATATTGCACAAGAGCAATAGCAGGGATGGATCAGACTGCGAAAATCAACGACCCATCGAATGCGACCCAAGGTTTGTTGAGCTGCATTTTGTTCCGAGTGCTCAGCATTCAGCAACCCTTATTTTAGTGGTGAAGGTGGCTCATACACAAGAAGGCGATGTGGAAACAGGAGAAGAGATGCGCGCAATGGTAAGTCCAGTCCGCATGGAATTCAAACGCAGTTTGATATTGAAAATATTCGGCTATTTCGAAGTTCCTCCAACGAGAGGTTTTGTTTAGAATTTTCTCGGAGAGGATCTGTCTCGCCTGGAGCCAATTCTGGTGATGAATATGATGTTGGGTTCAGGGACGATGCGGTATGTTGAACGCTCGCTTGTGTTGAGCACTGCTTAGGATAGCCAGTAATTTCAGTTGGAGGCGGATTTCGCTCGTTTATTGAAAAGAACTCGAGGTTTCGATATAAAAGTTGTCCGAGGCGATGGGTCATGTATGTTCAGAGCTGTGGGTCAGTTTTTTGAAATGCCGATATTTTGTCCTGCACCTTTGCTTATCATTTTAGCGGACCAGCTGTACGCAGACCAGGATATGCATGGTGAAGTGAGGCGGCTCTGCATGGACTACATGGCACGTTTCTCTGTGTTATGTATGTTTTCTTAGAACCAAGATAAATATAAAATTCCAGGAGAGGAATCGAGATCACTTTGCTCCCTTTGTTGCCGAAAACTTCTCGTCTTACGTTGCGCGAAAGCGGCAGCCTGGTCAGCATGGGAATCACGTGGAGCTTCAGGCAATCTCTGAAATGTTTGCGCGTCCTATTGAAATCTACGAGTACAGTGAGAGTGAGTTTGATGTCGGATGGATCCTTTAGAAGTACATAGATGTAGACAAACTCATGCATTATGTTTAGATCCAAGGAATGTATTCTACCCGACAATAAGGTCGCTTGATGTCAACGTACCCATTCGTCTCAGCTATCACGGTTCGTCGCACTACAACTCAGGTAAGCAAATGCTTTCATTATAGTCTTCATTCCAAACGCGCCTCTGAAAATATCATTTTCGGTGGCCTTTACAGTTCTCCATTTTTGTAGTGAACTATGCAAGCTTTAACTTACAGCTTTGATAGTGCTCTCTCGCTGAAAATAAAGGGCTGCCCGTGGCAGCCCTGAGACGCAAAGGGTGTGAATCGCAGGGGTAATCTTCTATTCTATCTGAAAACAACACCGCTACAGAACGGAAGGATCCCTTCCTTTTCCTTTCGGTTTTCATCCCTTTTCCCTCGTGTAGTAATTAATATATCCTCTCCTCTTCCCTAATGCATATCACATGCATAACTTCGTGAATAAATTGCTCCAATTACTTCAATTATATGTAATTTTCGAATGTTTCTTGAACTGATTAAATTGCTACTGGGGCACTAAAGTTGTTCCGTTTACTTGACTTTATATCCAACATTTTTCAGTGGTTGATCCATTCGCTCCCACTGCCGGAATTGGGTTGGGTCTTCCAGACCTTTACCCACGTGGCGCTAACAATCTCAGAGAAGCAGTGAAGGAGAGCGAAGACAGAAGTGTAGAGCAAGCCATACTCGAAAGTCAACTTGCTTTGACGGACATTGAACGGACTGAAAGAGAAATAAACGAACAGGTACCTGTTTTTCGATGAAATGAACTCCAACCATTCTGTAACAGGTTAATCGTAACAGGTGAATTAAATGTTAAATCGAACTTTGTGAGCCAAACTCAGCGTCATGAAGAAACTAGCAAAATTATTTCCACCGTAACCGTATTGCAGATTGCTTCCTTCTTCCCTTTCGGTTTTCATCCCTTTTCCCTCGTGTAGTAATTAATATATCTCTCCTCTTCCCTAATGCATATCACATGCATAACTTCGTGAATAAATTTGCTCCTAGTTATTCAATTCTATGGAAATTTTCGAATGTTTGCCTTGAACTTGATTGAATGCTACTGGGCACTATAAGTTGGTTTACTTGACTTTATATCCAACATTTTTCAGTGGTTGATCCATTCGCTCCCACTGCCGGAATTGGGTTGGGTCTTCCAGACCTTTACCCACGTGGCGCTAACAATCTCAGAGAAGCAGTGAAGGAGAGCGAAGACAGAAGTGTAGAGCAAGCCATACTCCCCCCCCGCAAAAGTTTCAACTTGCTTTGACGGACATTGAACGGACTGAAAGAGAAATAAACGAACAGGTACCTGTTTTTCGATGAAATGAACTCCAACCATTCTGTAACAGTTAACGTTTTGGATGGTCGCAAATAGGGTATCACCTGTGGAATGAAAGTTTTTATGTCGAAGAGACCTTATTCCGTCACTTGCGTGAAAATAAAGCGTTATCGTAACAGATAAATCAAATGGGTCAATTTGAACATTGTGAAGCAAACGTTAGCGTCATGAAGAACACTAGCAAAATTTTTCCCCTGACAGTATTCGCAGTTTGATCGCGAACGCAAGGAATAGCTGCAAGGGTTGTTAGGCTTTTGGAAAATAGTTGACGTAAATAGTTGCAGTATGAAATAGCCAGACCGCAAAAATCAGCGTTATTGACCACTGCTTTCTTTTGGTGTATGATAACCCAGCAAAAAAAGTGGATTTTCGCTTCCAACTGAGTCCGCCTCTAGGACTCCATGATGTTGGCGTTTGGTGGTACCGGAGAGAAACGTGACCATTGGAATCGCTCAATAGCAACCCAGACTTTGGACGAGAGGTTCGAAAATGGCTGTAGTGTTCGGTGTGACCTCAACTTGGAGAATAAAAAGCGATTCCATGTGCCAAACTAAGATTTGATCACTTTAAGATCGCACGCGACTCATACATGGAATACTTACGAATGCTGATGGATTCTGGTAATCCTGCTCCTGGACCCAATACTAGTAAGTTTAGATATAAGAATGTTTTGCCATCGTGTTGTGTGTTTTCAATGAATTCATTTTAAGGAGAGAACATTTGCGACATACCAAGGGAAGCTCAGAAGTGCAAGGAGGCACGGAACGACGTCAGCCAAAATCTACCCTTTATGAGGAACTGCTGGCATTGGATAGATATTGTCCTCTCTGAATCAAGATTTATGTATCGTTACTCGTTTTTTTCGGGATAGGAGCCTTGTCGCGATTGCGCGCTCATAGCTGCATATGCAATGATTCTCAGTCATTTGAAAATTACGTGCGCTTTATGATCTGATGTTACCTGAGGCCAAGTGTGCTTACTGAGCATGCAGTTAAGTACGGCATGTCTCGCCAAAGAAAACGCGCGATCAATTTTATATATTGTGCAGAATATGGTCCCTGTCCTGCAACGGCAGAAGAAGAAGATGAAGCACTGGCTTGTGCTCTTTCATTGAGTAAACAACAGTATTTGGAAGAATTGCAATACCGATATGGTACGGGATCAGATGATCATAACAACAACTGAAACGTGACCTTCTGAGGTGGTTGAGAAATTGAACACTATTGAATGATATTCACGTTGGCTTCTTTATTTCATGAGTTATAGTTGTAAATGTGCTTTCTAGTACAGATAAAGCCCGTGTGCTTACGCAGGTTATTTCGGCTTTCAGCTTTTCGTTTCATTAAATTGTGATATTCTGCATAGTTTTTATGATTTCTTACAGTACTTGTACTATTTTCTCATCATAATACAGAGATAACCGATTTGTACATATGTGGCGCTTTCCAAGTCATACTAGTGTGATCGAATTTTTCAAAATTGGTTGAATAAATAGAACATCATTATAGTGAAAGTACATTTGCCAATAGTATTATGTCTTGCATATCTACTGTCTATACCGCAGGATTACTGTTCTTATAGCCTGGAATTGTGAGGCAGTGTGAAAATGGACTGTCGACAAGTGTTCTGCTTCCTTGTGCCTTGAGCCACCTCATGTATACGCCATCACATTGACGAATTGCGCCACCGCTTGCTCAGTTTCTACCTTTTGCGGCCACACCGCAAAATTCATTCTCGAGAGGATTGCTTTGTAAACACAATTTCACATCAAAAGCACCAAGCAAAGTAGACAGGCGCTTATGAACAAATGCAAGAGGTAACAAGACAGTGCGGTGGACGGGTGCGGTTATGTGACTGGTTGACGCATGCTTCTTATCCGTCGTAGTCTGAGTATTGAAAGCTTTAGCAGCCTACCAAGAAGTTCGTGATCGTCTGTGCGCTTTTGTTCCTACGTGGGTTCTGCCTTGATTAGAAGATCGTTCATGCGGAATCCAAAGGAATGTGTTGCTTATTTTCACAAGTTGCGCAACTTTTGCCCGGGCTCATCAAACAGGATTCATGGTTTTTTTATACTTTTTTTTGAATTCTGTTACTTTCCGATTATCAATTCATAATAGTGCATTCGTTTTCTTTTCAAAACGTTCAACCACGTATTCCTTCACGGGAATCGTCTGCCCTTTCTCAGGTTCAGGCTTTATCACGTAAATTCATTTTTTTTCTGACCACTAACAATCTTACCATTCTCTGTTCTTGTTACGCCGCCTTTTTTCAGGATCTTTTCTCTTTTCCTTCACTCTTATTCGTTAAGGTACAATTCAAATTCAATTGTTGTAATATTTTTTGGTCATTTTTTGAGCATGGGCTGATTAGAGAGGCTGTTCCACAGTAGAATAGTTCAGCTACTTTTAAGCCCCTCAAGATACTTTGAGTGCATGTTAATGGGCTTAAATACTGGAGTCTGACCGGTTGATATTCCTGAAGGGCCTAGTTCCTCAGTGTCATTTATGCATAAGATCTTTTCACCTTTGTATACTGCTAAATTGGTTAACTTCAGAGAAATTTATTTGTTGGATTGTTTTTCTTCTGTTTAGGGACTTTTGGTAGTTTTGACCTATTCTTATCATTACCTCTAAGCCGAGGCGGATATTCTTGAGTTCAGGAATGTCAATCAACATCCAGTCGTTTGCTAAGACCTTGGCGGAGGAGGTCAGCGGCTCGGCAAATACTCAGTGGTCGGCGTAGTGTTTGAGGTGCCAAGGCGAGCCTTGCTCTTTGGCAAACAGTACTCCATTTGCTGCGCCCATTAGACTTTCCGCGGATTTGGCTATCTCTCTGATGGTTTTTTTTTTGGTTGAAGCTCTTCTCTAGCTAGTTGATGCATGCGCTTCTAAAATGCAATACTTCTAAAGACCAGAATGCATTTACCCTTTTAATTTATTTGCTCTTTATAAGCCTGGGATCAGCTTTTGAAGAAGGTTCTCTAATTTTCGCCCTACAATCCTCCTGTACTGTAATGTGAAACACCTGCATGTCAGTCTTCAGTCTTTTTTTGCAGGCATCATAAACTACCTTTGTAAAACTTAAGCATCGATTGCATGATCTCCCGAATTCTCGCTCAGTTTCCTTGAAAGAGAAATTCTACGATACGAGAATAGCGAAATCCCTATTCTTTCTGAGCTAGAATGGTTCACAAGCTTTTCTCGTTCTGCCACCTATGCAAGAAAGCGCATCAAAATTGCTCTATGGGTTTTATTTAGCGCTAATCACTGCCCATCGCTATCTGTGCGGAATTGATGCCACGCTGGTTCTGCCTGTCTGCGTCTCTCTCGTTCCTAACCTACCTCGTTCCCTTCCCATGCGGGCCCCATTATACTCGAAGTCTGCTGATGCTTTGCGCTGTCAAGTGAAGAAAGGTAAACTATTTTTGGCGCTTCCATTTATTCTTTTAGTCCCTGTTTATTTGGGAGATCTCACAGGCATCTAAGCTTTATGTATGATCCTTTGATCTCAGTTTAGCTATACCCGTTGATTTGTTACCCTCCCTTCAAAAAGCGAGAAAGTGTCGGGTGCAGACCATGCACCACAAGTGACGACGGCCTTCACAAAATGTTAATGTTTTCTGCCAATGAAATGATTAGCCTGTTGCAGTTGTATTCTATCGATTGTCACTAATTACAACTATCATTTACCAGAAATCAGCTCACTATGAACAACTTCTAACCAGATTTACTTGGAGGCCGTCGTCAGTTGTGGTGTTTGGTCTGCACCCGACACTTTCTCGCTTTTTGAATTGGAGGTCACGTCCTTCAGCCTTATGTATCTTAAAGGATGCAATCACCCTAAGCGGCTCTCGGCTGCTTGGAATGAGGTGCACTCCAGAATGAAAACGGGACGATAACGATAACGGTATCATATCTAGTACGCTGCCATTGCACCCCTTTCCACATCGATAAGTAGGGGTTTTTGCTGAACCGGAAGTGGGATTTCGGCGCCTTATCACTCCGTTGATAAGGCGCCACTGCCCTGAAAGCACCACCTGTTGTCTCATTGGATAGGACTTCTACCCAATCCACTACGTAACTTTCCTTTATCGTCCCCATAGAATTTACGTGTTCACTTCCTTTGAGGCACTTTTGCAATGGCAAAGACGCAGTAATGGAGCTCAAATGAGGAGTGCTCGTTGACTCATTAATGAATTTAAAAAAGCAAAGGAAGTCGCGGAAACAACTGAAATAAAGGCCTCGTTTATATACATATCTCTGAGTTGTGGCAAGTCTGGGAGGCTTCGAGGCAGACAGTTCAAGAGCCATTAGCTGTGGAGGAAAGAGAAAAGATTCAGAGACCACAGAGCACAGCGAACGGGGAGACACAGACAACGCTGCAGTGGTCGTGCAAGGCTGTTTGGGTGTCCCTTTTTGTAAGTTCTTTGCCGAGACTATAACGCCTGGCTCCTATCGTCTAGCACCTAGTCACATGGCTAAGTCGCGGGATACTATTCAGCGGTTGCGTAGAGAGATATCTCTTTTACGGGAGCATCATGGAATCGCCCTTTTTTTTCAGAAAACCTGAAACATATAGGGTTTAGCCAAGGGTGACCTCGCGAGTTTGTCTAACGCGCGACTATCTTATTTGTTCTTGCCAGTTGACCTTATTAGCAGCGTTTATTTGCGCATTTTTCAACGATCCACCTTAGTGCGACAATCCGGGTTGAGCTCAGGTGGATCAGTCTACCCTGTGAGCAGGAAAAGACCTTTTACCAAGACTGCAGGTGTGCCGTTGTCAAGGCTCAAAAGTGTGCGACGAGGGCTTCATAAAGTGAGTACCCTCCCTTCAAAAAGCCAGAAAGTGTGAGGTGCAGACCAAACACCACAACTGACGACGGCCTCCAAGTAAATCTGGTTAGTAGTGGTTCATAGTGATAGCTGAT